GTGGGCCGGCAACTATCTTCGGACTTCCACATTCCCGTCTGTCTGTGCTGCCCTATAGTTCCGTGTGCAGCCTCGTATGTTGTACTCACCGGGTGCCTTTTTCTCTTCATCTCTCGGAAAGCCGCGTTCTTTCAGCGTGCTGGTTTTCAGCTGGCCGGGGCCCAACCGACGGAGGCTGCTTCCAGGGCCCTCTGTGGGATGAGCGGAGCCTTCTTCCTGCCCCGCAGCTCGCGACAGGCTACAGGCGGGACGTGCCCACCCGCCACCGGGGACTCGGAGTCTGTGCAGTGCCTCGGTGTCCTGCGGGGAGGGTCAGGCATTGGTGTGGGGTCGCCAGACCTCCTGGGAATGGTCGGAACCGGTGAGCTGCGGGTTTGGGGGAGAGAGGGGTCCTCTCGACCCACCCAGGCCGCATCATTATTTGGTATCTGGCCAACTGGAGGATAACGTTGTTTTCCTCACAGAAGCCGCCCCTGAGGTAACCGCCGCTCGCACCGCCCACTCTCTCCTCTGTCTCACTCTGACACCTGCAGTCCCATCCCGGCGCAGAGCCACACCTGCACAACAGCCGTCACCTTCGTGTCACACCTCATCTCTCTCACTCTGACAGCTGCAGTCCCCATCCCTGCACAGAGCCACACCTGCACAACAGCCGTCACCTTCGTGTCACACCTCATCTCTCTCACTCTGACAGCTGCAGTCCCCATCCCTGCACAAAGCCACACCTGCACAACAGCTGTCACCCTCACGTCACACTTCGTCTGTCTCATTCTGACACCTGCAGTCTCCATCCCTGCGCAGAGCCACACCTCCACAACAGCCGTCACCTTCCTGTCACACCTCATCTGTCTCACTCTGACACCTGCAGTCCCCATCCCCTCCAAGAGCCACACCTCCACAACAGCCGTCACCCCAATGTCACACCTCGTCTGTCTCACTCTGACACCTGCAGTCCCCATCCCCACCCAGAGCCACACCTCCACAACAGCCGTCACCCTCCTGTCACACCTTATCTGTTTCACTCTGACACCTGCAGTCCCCATCCCCACCCAGAGCCACACCTCCACAACAGCCATCACCCCCATGTCACACCTCTTCTTTCTCACTCTCACACCTGCAGTCCCCATCCCCAGGCAGAGCCACACCTCCACAACAGCTGTCACCCTCACATCACACGTCTTCTGTCTCACTCTTACACCTGAAATCCCCATCCCGGCACAGAGCCACACCTCCACAACAGCCGTCACCCCCACATCACACTTCGTCTTGATGCGGAAAATGTTGGGTGCCGGGACATGGCCGATTCCCGCCTCCCTGTAGTTCTGCATCTCCGGGGGCCAGTGCTGTGCGTGGCCAGTTAAAGGCAGGCTGCTGGGACTGGACCCCTTGGCACCCAGCCGCCCCGGACCCGCGTGCCGCCGGGACCCCACGTGCCGGAATGCCCCAGGCCCTCCTGCAGCGGCCTGTTTCCGGCCATGCTGCTTGCGTGATCCTGATTGGGTAATTTTTTAATCCCACTGTTTTCGATTGGATGTTAAAGCTTGTTGATGATTGGATGCTTCTTGAGCCCTACCAAGCATATAAAAGCAGGGGCAGAAGGACAGGAAGGGAGAGAACATCGGGAGAACATGGAGGGAACATCGGAAGACGCGAAGAGAGCTGTAATACTAGGCGTGCTGAGCCTGCTGTAGAAGAATAAGGACTGTTCTCCGATTCTTCATGTGCTGCCTGGTTCTTTACCTGGTTAAACAAATAAGAGCTATAACAAGGGCTGTAACGCTAGCTCTACACACTGCCGCAACATTTGGTTCCCTGACCAGGAAAGCCGACTGAGCTGGCTCCTTGAACGGCATCGGTGGAGCTGGCTCCTCGAAGCCACCAGAACGGCGAATGGTGCAGACGGCGTAGACGAGTGGGCTGCACCCGGACAGTGGACGGGACCGAGCAGCATCTTTCTCCTTCAGCACCAAGAGCTGTTGGCCAAGGGCAATAAGCTTGCCGAGGCCTTGCTGAGGGAGGGGAAGCAGGGGCACTGACGCAGGCCATGCTGCGACAGGCCTCCCGGCAGGTGCTGGCCTCCATGGTGCTGTTGCCCAAGGGCAATAGCAGGAGGCTGAGCAAGTGGGTGCTGGGCTTAGCCAGCTGGAGCGGCAGACCAAGGCCAGGACGTGGGACAAGGTAGGGCCCCTGGGACCCGCCCGAGATCGGCCTGTCAGGGGAAGAGGAGCCACATCGGCTCCTAGGGTATAAGCCCGTCAGTGGGACGGAAGAGGAGCCATCAGCTCCTAGGAGGTAGGCCTGTCAGTGGGACAGAATAGGACCCCAATCGGCTCCTGGGGTGTAGGCCTGTCGGGGACAGAAAAGGAGCCCGATTAGCTCCTAGAGCCTGTCAGTGGGACAGAAGAGGAGCATCGGCTCCTAGGGTATAGGCCCCATCAGTGGGACAGAAGAGGAGCACTATCAGTTCCTAGAGCCTGTCAGTGGGACAGAAGAGGAGCATCGGCTCCTAGGGTGTAGGCCCCATCAGAGGGACAGAAGAGGAGCCCTATCAGCTCCTAGAGCCTGTCAGTGGGACAGAAGGGGAGCCTATTGGCTCCTAGGGTATAAGCCCATCAGTAGGGCAGAATAGGAGCCCCATTGGCTCCTAAGTTGTAGGCCCCATCAGTGGGACGGAAGAGGAGCCCCATTGGCTCCTAGGGGTAGAGCCCGTCAGTAGCACGGAAGAGGAGCCCCATTGGTTTCTAGGGTATAGGCCTCGTCAGTGGGATGGAAGAGTAGCCCCATCAGCTCCTCAGGACAGGGATCTCCCAGGGGAGGGAATGTGTAACCTCTGAGTGAATGTGAGTGGAGGGAACAGTGACTGGTCATTGTGTCGGTAGCCCCACAGCTTTGGCTACGGGGTTTGAGTGGGTCCTAACCTGGGGTTCTATGGTGACGTTAGCATAACGGTAATTGCCAAGACGTGCCTCACTTCCCTCAAGGGACACAGCTAGGCAGACACCTGAGAGCAGGAAAGGAGTGTTGTCGGGTGGCGTAGGGAATGGGAACGCTGGTTAGGAGCTAGAGCAGGGATCAGAGTCTAGGCAGGGACAAGCTTCAGAAAAGGAGTGTTGGGTGGTGTAGGGAACAGGAGTGCTGGATGAACACGGGAGGGTTCGAATCTAAGCCAACAGTTGCAAGGTGCATGCTGATAAGTTTCATGCGTTCATCGTGGAGAGTGGTGACTGGGACTGCATCCGCCACCCGCCACCATCGGCTTCTCCACTGCTGGCATCTCCACCACTCGTCCGCCGGTTGCAGTCGTCCCCTTCCAGATGCCTCTGCATGAAATGCGAGGTCCACCGCAGGTTTGGGATGCCAGAACCATCCAGCCGGGGCAACCTACCCTGCATTATCAGCCTTTCTCCACCACTGATCTATTGAATTGGAAGCTCCATACGCCGTCCTACTCGGAGAAACCACAGGCCCTCATCGACCTCCTGGAGTCCATCTTCCAGACTCATTGTCCTATGTGGGAAGATTGCCGGCAACTCCTGCTGACTCTCTTCAATACCAAAGAACGGCGTCGGATCATGATTGGAACTCGGAAGTGGCTGCAGGAACGGGTGCCAATGGGCACCCTGGATGTGGAACAATGGGTATCACGAGTGGTGCCTGAGACCAACCCAGAGTGGGATTTCAACGCACCAGAAGGACAAGCGGCACTGGAGCAGTACCAAGAGGCTCTTCTCCAAGGAGTGTGGGAAGGGGCCAAAAAGCCGACCAACATGAACAAGGTTGCCTTCATTACCCAGAAGCCAGAGGAGTCACCGTATGACTTCTACGAGCGCCTCTGTGAGGCATACAGGGATATACACACCTATTGACCTGGAGGCAGCCGAAAACCAGAGAATGGTGAATGCAACATTTGTCGGGCAATCGGCTTCCGACATTTGGAGGAAGCTGCAGAAACTTGAAGGATTTGCAGGCATGCGTATCATGCAGTTAATGGAGGTGGCCCAGAAGGTGTACGTCAGCTGGGACCGGACTGCTCAGAGGGAGGAAGACCAGAGGATGAAGAAAAAGGCTGCCCTCCTGGCTGCTGCCCTCGGTAGATCCAACTCATCCAGGCGGCCCAGACCCCCCACGAAAGGGGGGAACCAGAGGACGGGCACCTTTGGCAAGAGGCCAGTGCACCAATTGCAAGAGGTTTGGCCACTGGAAGAGTGAATGTCCCCACAAAGGATGTCAGCTAGTAAAGGGGGTAACCAGAGGACGGGCACCCTTGGCAAGAGACCAGTGTGCCAGTTGCAAGGGGTTTGGCCACTGGAAGAACAAATGTCCCCACAAGGGAAGTCAGCTAGTAAAAGGGGGAACCAGACGGGTGCCCCAAGCAGGAGACCAGTGTGCCAATTGCAAAACGTTTGGTCGCTGGAAGAATGAATGCCCCCACAAGGGAAGTCGGCTAGTGTGGCCTGTACCCCCACAAAAGGGGGGAACCAGAGGACGGGTGCCTCTGGCAAGAGACCAGTGTGCCAATTGCAAAAGGTTTGGCCACTGGAAGAATGAATGCCCCTACAAGGGAAGTCACCTGTTGCAAAGGAGGGCCCCGTTCAGGACCACCCAACAGAAACCAGAAGCCCAAGAGCTAGTGGGGCTCGCTGGCATTGAGTCCGAGTTGGGCCGACCGGGTTCCTTTAGCCCTCAGGAACCCACAGTCGAGATGGAAGTAGGGGGCCAACAGATGACATTTGTGGATGTTGGAGCAGAACATTCAATTATAAGGCACGAGGTCCTCCACATGCCAGACTGTCTGGTGCCTCTCTGGGGACAGGACTTGCTGAGCAAGTATGAGGCAGACGTCATCCAGAGGACCGAGGAGCTGGAGGAGGCCAAGAAGAAGCTGGCAGAGAAAGCTAAGGAGTGTGCTGACCAGCCACCAGCGGGCAGTGGAGTCCCTGCAGGCCTCCCTGGATGCTGAGACCCAGGCCCACAACAAAGCACTGAGGCTCAAGGAGAAGATGGAGGGTGACCTCAGTGACCTGGAGCTGCAGCTGGGCCATGCTACCCAGCAGGCCACAGAGGCCCAGGTGGCCACATGGCTGCTGCAGGCCCAACTGAAGGAGGAGCAGGCAGGGCAGGATGAGGAGCAGCGGCTGGCAGCTGAGCTCTGAGAGCAGGCGCAGGCCCTGGAACGCTGGGCTGCGCTGTCGGCTTCTGAGCTGGAGGAGCTGTGGGCTGCGCTGAAGCAGGGCGAGCGCAGGCTGGCGGAGCAGGAACTGTTGGAGGCCACCAAGCGCCTCAACCTCCTGCATTCGCAGAACACAGGCCTTCTGAACCAGAAGAAGCAGCTCAAGGTGGATTTGGCCCACCTGAGTGGGGAGGCAGAGAAGGCCAAAAAGGCCATCACCAATGCCACCATGATGGCTGAGGAACTGAAGAAAGAGCAGGACACAAGTGCACACCTGGAACGGAAGACACTGGAACAGATGATGTGGGAGCTCCAGGCCCAGCTTGAAGCTGAACAAGCTGCCCTCAGAGGTGAGAGGCAGGTACCTATGGGGGTACTGGTGCAGACTGTGGGCCCCTGGCAGAGGCCAGTGGCCTGTCTGTCCAAGCGGCTGGACTC